AGTGGACGTCACGAAGATCTTGCCAATCCCTGAAGGTGACATCCTCTTCAACCATAGAACGTTGGACGAAACGTTGGTGCAGTCCATATATGATGCGATCCATCATGCGGCCAAGGAAACCAACGRGAAGTGGGATTTCATGACWTTCATCCTSACTYCCATTGTGCCCAAYASRSAYGGGTCTCAAGGCAGACGGATCACACCRGAGCAATTCRACGTCGAACTGRCTCATACATACAACTGGTATGYTGTYGMTGGCCAGCACACGGCKGAGGCRATKAACRGACTCATTAAAGAYAAGTCACCGGCCGAGAAAGTATATGGCTTGAGGTCATACTCTCACGTACGTGTTGTCTACTTTGACGATGACAGAAAGAGAGGATATCCGTACGTCTCGACGTTCGACAACACGAGGGAGGAGCGTTCGATCCCGAGATCGTTTTCGTCATCTGTGCGCCAAATCARAACATTTTGGGATAAGAGSAATGGYCGGATCCGTCCGCCAGGGACCGTGTCCCCGAATGACGTCGAGGGGATGAAACAGAAAAAGAAATGGGAAGAGTTCATGAACGCCGCCTGCAAAATGACACCTGATTCCGGTCTCATGAACTCGTCCCTGGAGAACGACTACTGCAAGGACTGGACGAAAAAGATGCGCGGATACATGAATCTTGCGCAATGCAGCGAAACAGTATGGCCACTAGTAGAGAAATTCTTCGACATGTACAAGAAGGGGCTATTGCAGCGAGTCAACGGTGTGAGATACATCGACCTTTCGAGGAAAGTGGAAGGGAGGTTGCCTGGGCATACTTCCTCAAGGACAACTCCGACAAAAAAGTCATGTTCCACTGCATCAAGGCCAGGAAGGGGCCATCAGGCGCAATGGTGTCTATACCTGACTTGACGCCGACAATCTTCAAGCTGTTCGGCGATATGACAACGAGAGAGAAGCAAGTGGCGCTTCACCACATGATGCGTGGTGATGTCATCGTGACATCACGTTCGATACCTCGTGGTAGATGCAACATGGCGGACCTGGTTAAATATACTCGGCGTGAAAGATATATGGTCCGTATGGTCAACTACATATTGTTCAAGGCAGAGGGGAGGTCAAAAGAAGAGTGGAGCACTGACTTTTTCATCGGTTATACGACCATCTTGAACAAAAACGGTCTGACGGACGAGAAATGGACCGAGGAACGCGACCGCATCCCTGACGACAAGGCAAGGAAGGTGCCGAGGCGTTTGGGCGGTCCTGATGAGATTAATGGTGAGAACGGTGCGGGACTCGAGGCAACCCAAGGCATGTACAAGGAAACCCTGTTCCACCTCAAGTGTTTCATCTACGAGGCAATTGACTGCTTGGACAACCTGAGAGCGGAGGTTAATCGGATATCCTCCAGTGCTTGTCACATCTTTTGGGAAGTGGGGAAGAGGATTACCACGATCCTGCCATTTGAAATCGAACCGAAGGGAGTGCTCACGGACAACGAGGAGGTTGTTGGTACGGCGAGGGGGATGAAGATACGGGCAACCATTCTTGATATGTCAACATCACYGAAATGTGTTYYGTGGGATGATGACGCCTTTTYCAAACTGTACGCTTTCCTCATGACATGCTGTGGCGAAAACTGGGCCTTGATCATTTTCGTGCCGATGAAACACCAGAAACAGGTGATGCAGAGTGTGTACAACTGGGATGATGTTGAGGTGCTCACAGGGTCATGGTACAGACACTATACACCTTCGACAACCTTGAACAAGTACGACAACATTGCAGTTCGGTACACTGACATGATGGCTATTGTCCTCCACGCCAATAACGACAATTTGGACAATATAACGGTTGCGCCGAAATTGCGAGCCGAGTTGACAAATTTGAACGTTGAAGAGGGTGAATTTGTGAGGTGCTCAGGGGAGTGTATCGACGTGGAGGGCGACACCGACGCGGTTTATTCTTGGATGGAATGAGAGCCAGCACGTCTCCAAAAATTATGCAGCTCGTTCATCAGGGAGGATGATGACGTGATGCTGTTGGGCAGGGCGCATGCGAGACTGATTTGGGAACTGGCTCGCGCTGGACACCACGTGTTTGCGTGTCACGACACGACGAAAGAACTCACATACCTTTCCAAGTTTTTGGAGTTTCATGTGAAGGATCCGAGGAACAAAAGCAGGTTCGAAAAGCCCCAAGTCGAGCACCGCAAGGACCGGGACATCTACTATACGCTCGGCAGGAAGAGGGAGAAAGTGTGGGCTTACTTGTTCAGTGACGCTCCACGGTCGACGGTTGATAACGACTATGTCATCAGGAAAAGTGAACTCGAGATAGCAATGAATGAGTACCACGGATCGCACATGGGTGCTTTCCACATATTCATCGCACGTTGTGAACATCTGTATTTCAATATGAAGAAAGAGCACTGTCATGCAGGGACTATGCGGACTTGGCACGTAAAGTAGGGAACTTCAACAACATCGATTGTGACGAAGACACGTCAGACTCCGACCTGGACGTTCCGTCGCGTGCGACACGACGTTCGGCGCAGGGAGCACTTGTCGAGGAGCCGCAAGGAAGCACCAACGCAGATGCGGAGAAGGCGAGGTCGAGTTTGGGAGCGACACATGCTAGTGAGGGAGACGTGGAACATAGAATGAATGCAAGGGGAGAAAAGAATGGTGTACCAACGAACCCGGTGGGTGCGAGTGAGGGAATTGTTAACTCACGGGACAACACAGGGGGAGGAGAGAATGGGTGTGAAATGACCCCGCCGACAGCTGGACCATCATCGACACATGCACCGCAGGCCGAGCAGCGAACGCTCACGTCGATGGACATAGATGAAGATGACAGCTGTCATGCCGAAGCTCGTGCCAGGAAAACCATTACCTCAAGGCTTTGCTCAAGACCCTTCAGTGCCATACTTGCTGCAAGACAAGTACAAGGAGTCATCGAAGGAGGACTGGGGTCATCATATTCTCTGGCATGAGGGCGTGTTCGAACCGTGCATGTTTGCAGGCAAGTGGCAAATGGCTGTGAAGACAAAATACCGCAGGTGGGTCGCGAAGGAAAGAAAGGACGCTGCGATATGGCACAACATGACGGAGACGCAACATTTTTGGCGGGTTGCACAAGAAAATGTCGGTGCAACTGAGGTGGCTGTAGCGGCAAAGGCGAAAACTTTGTTTGAGCATCTGCGTGCGAACAAACAACTAAAATTCAGCACAAAGTTCTACGACCTTGCATCAAGTGTGTCGTACGGTTCCATCGATTGGAAAATCAAACAAGCGTCAGCAGTGCAAGGAATCGATAGCATCACCTCTCTGAAGACTCAAGACGTCATCGCGTCTAACCCCATCGTTGCGATGGCCAGAGGGGATGCAGGTTGCGAAACGGACACACGTGCGAACGCAGGTCACATACATAATGAACAGTTGCGAGCATGTAATCAACAAAGCACACAGAGAAGCGCAATAGGGGATTCCACTATGATACGCAAGGATAGCAACGACATGGAGTTGGGCACATTGACAGAGCCACCAACGCGCGGGGTTAACGATAGGGCAACAATCGTTGGATCTTTCGGGTCTCTTGTCGCGACAATGGCGGCGAGACAAGGCGTATCTGAAATGATGGAGACCGATGCGGACCAGGATGTTGAAAGCCAAACCGTGAAGGTGGCGCCAGAGAAGGTGGCGGCAACAACAGAGGAGACGAAGAAAGGTGAGGGATCTTGCGAACACATTTCCATAATAGATATGAGATCGGAGAGTACGAGCGAGGATATGATCCAAGATAACGACATGAAAGATGACCACGCTGCACCACGAGTGGAAGGTGACGACGAAGAGGACGCGCAACGACCAAGACGGTCAACGAGAGTAGTAATTAAGAAAACTGTGTTTGATGCATAGGAAAACCTTAGACGGGCATGGGAGTTTACATGTTTCAGGTTATATTGATGTGGCGCCACAAATCATGATGCGATATTCACCCGATCCTCACATGGGGTGTCTACGCATTTCTTGTTAAATTGATAGGTTGTCGCTGGGTACTATGTTACTATGTTAGACAGGAATGGGTGTAAACGCGTTTTGGGTTATATTGTTGTCTTAATGGAATTGTTATTGTGACAATGCAATTCTCGAAATGGCACTATCGATAATAGAGGGTGCCCCATCTCGATACGTAGGGGTGTGTGTGTGTGTGTGTGTGTGTGTGTGTGTGTGTGTGTGTGTGTGTGTGTGTGTGTGTGTGTGTGTGAACAGGCCGAGGTGGACTCGTCAGCAGCGTTGAGTTCTGTGTGTGGATTAAATTGTGTGTGCGTGCTTGGTACAGTTTTATAATAAAGGCATGTGAAAACACACTATACGGGGCACTTTGACTGCCATGTGTCAAGGACACCTCTAATTTCAGAGAACTTGTTATGCCGTCTTCCAGTGTGCTGCGAATGGCCGTCTTAACCTAAATCCCCACAAACTTAAAAAAAAGAAATCATAATAATAAAATGGAAAAAAAAAAGAACGTGAAAATATGTGAAACAACAAGGTTGGAGTAGAGAGCTTATAATCAAAATAGTGCCAAGAGTAGTGAATATGAACATCAGAGAACAGATGGAAGCAGGGTTACCGTTAACCACCATAGATCCCGATAAGTATCATTGATCGATTTGCTTTAAAAAAATACACGAAAATTGGAAAAATTTGTAGTTGTGTTATGCGGCATATTACAAGGAAAACGGAGGCTGGGGTATTCATGTCAACTCGCTATAGTATCCTGTTGCCAGGATTTAACAATTGAAATTTTCTCCGCCGTTTCCAGCATGCAAATATGGCAGGCCCCAATAACGATAGCTTACGCTGGCGCATAATGCATTGTCATGTGCAGAAAGGAGGAACATAGAAGAAGTACAAAGATGCAAACAGGGATGGATGATCCTCTTAGCAACGGATAAGTTATCGGAGAAGGAGACGGCCGCGGTGCAACATTTACGAGATTCAGCGCAAGCGGAGAATCGAACGGTCTGGACATCCACGTACAACGGGGCAACAAAAGAAGAACTAACACTAACTGGGAATGATTTGAGGTTGATACTGTTTCAAGGCAATTGGTTGAACACCCACATAGTTAACTTTTATTTGAACCTCGTTAGGCTTGACAACATTTGTCGCATAAGCCATCGCGAGTGTGATAGTGAACAAGACGGAACCGTAGTAGAAGGAAAAGGGCGCATCCTGATAACAACAATTTTTAGTTCCTTCTTCTTCGCGAAATTGTTCGACGACGACATGCAATACCAATATAGCGCAGTGCAAAAGTGGATGACAGATGTCGATGTGGGTGACGTGGACTTAATAATAGCTTCATTCCATGTTCAGATGTCCAACCATTGGACACTAGTAATAGCAGACTTAAGGAGCCAGCAAATGGAGTCCTACGACTCGCTTACCCCTGACAAAGAATTGGCAAGGAAAGTGACAGGTGGTTTCGCAAGATTCTTGTTCGAAAGATCGGTTGAACAGGGTAAGGTGGTGGATACAAAAGATTTCAACCACATATGGAATGTGTCAGGCATTCCTAGACAGCGCGGCATTAACGAATGCGATGTGTTTATGCTAACATATGCGACTGTTTGCAAGAGGATTTCTTCCGCCATTCAACTTCTCTTTCGACGATATCCACAATATAAGGGGACGGATCGCTTCAGATGTAATTGTCACACCGAAGTAGGAGTTAGTTGTGCAACAAAGGACATTTGATAGACGACATTATCAAAGCAAAACATTTGTTCATTTTTTTGCAAATGTAAAGAGTTCATTGGCTCTGCTAGATAGACACCCATGAACATGTTCGAATGTATTTAACAAAGCAACAACGCTACATGCCCGATTGAATACCATTACTGTGTTACTTTAGATGATCTCGTACCCCTTACCCCTTACCCCTTACCCCTTACCCCTTTACCCCTGACCCCTGACACTATACCCATAAAAGACTTCATAAATTACATACCAAAATCGAAATAAAATAGACTTTCAATTTCGCGCAAAAAATAGAAAATGAACGTTTTGACGAAATCGCAGTTTTGGGAAACTCGTCCTTCTCAGGACCTTCGTCATTTTTGGATCGGTTTTTGGAATTTCATTTTTTCATAATTCGGGAAATACATGGGAATTGCGCGTGCCTTAGCGAATGCGCGAGGGGTTTGGCTCGACGGTTAGGAATTCTGGAACCAGCGGTACCCGACGTGTCCTTTTTGTTCTCGGTTTCGTATCGAAAATTCTAAGAATTTTTGTGTGAATTTGAATAGACGCAGGACTTTTTCCTATGTTCACTCTATTCGCGGGACTTATGATTTTCAATTTTGAATTAGCGTAGGATTCTGAATGAGCTGTAACTGTTTCGGTGCCCTTTTTGCTTTCGTGTCGGTGCCATGCATACGAGCTTTCATTATCCCCCCCCTGCCCCCTCTCCGTTTCCCCCACTACCTTCAATACTGTGTGTGTGTGTGTGTGTGTGTGTGTGTGTGTGTGTGTGTGTGTGTGTGTGTGTGTATCTGTGTGTGTGTGTGTGTGTGTGTGTGTGTGTGTGTGTGTGTGTATCTGTGTGTGTGTGTGTGTGTGTATGTGTGTGCGCACGTAACCGTTTTTCCATCTCCACTTTGCCAGGCGCGCCTTTTCTCTTTCTTGATCGACTGGATCTTGGTTCCATGTCGCGCTATCCTTCGCGCTCTTCTTCTTCCCGCTCTAATCCTTGCGTCAGAATACTTTGTCCACTCCCTCCTCCTCCCTTCTAGCCAAGGAGACACGTCGTGTAAGACGGAAAATCCTGATACACGACGATTCTGATTAGCTACAACTGGGATCCGAAGGATCGACATGACTTTCGTCGGGCGATTATCCCTGAACCTTCCCCTACCCCTCCTTACCTCAGTCCTAATCCTTCCGAGCATCTACCCCCTTTTACGCAGCTATAAATTCCGCAAGTGCTCCTGAAAATCTCTCTCTTGACTCATCTGCCAGCTTCCGGGAAGCAGTGGCTAGGTGGTTTGTAAGAAGGTGTGAGTCGAAAAGTCCTAATGAGCTGACTGTAGTCTTCACGGTTGTGCACTGGATCGCCCGACGAACAGTGGGATCCAAGCAATGCCGTGCAGAGACTAAGTTGGCGGGGTGACGATCGCTATGGTGGGAGTAGCACGTGACGGCCGGGATCGTCAATGCCAGTGTGAGGTTCGAGCAAAAGGTTGAGTGGATGAATGGCCTGGGGCCACAATGGAATTCATGGCTGATGCGCCTCTTTTTGCTTCAAGTCTAGTTTTCAAGTGTGAGTTATGTTCACGCGGCATTTAAGCCAGAGTCTTTCGACAAGGTCATCAAGCTTTTCGTGTAATTACCTCCTGTCTTCTTCTCGCTTCTGATCCATGTCTCGTCTCCCTCGCACTTCCCTGCTGTTATGTTTCTGCTACAATGGATGGATTATGATGATTTTCCTCCTCTGACTTTGATACGTGCACGCAGTAGATTGCGCTTGAGGACTTGTGTGAGCATGTTAATGGATCTGATGGAATGCGGGATTGGATTGATCGAAGGAAAGATGCATGATTAGGAAGAATCTTGTGTTATGCCATTTTTGCCATGTAGACTGATCGCCCAAATCCGACTGGGCGCCGACTTCTCGTACCGCCGCCACGCCCCTTCCTGTACAACGAGGAAAGGACACATGGATGCGAGTGGGACGTACGAGAAGCCGTCGCTAAGATCGGCGGGGGCTATCACTTTCCACCCAAGACCCGGTGCTCCGGATTCGTTGTTGCAGGATTTGTAATTATCGACACACATTTTCTGCCTTACTCGTTGTTGTTGCCATTTAATGAGTTAATCGCCATCATGTGGGCGGCAGTGGCACCTCATTGGCCTAACACTCTATGTAGCGACTGTCGTCGTACCAAGCGTTATCAAGCCAAAGGCTTCCATTACCGCACACGTGACTAGGACGTAAGGACGAACACAAGCCGAGAGTCACTCGATTGTGGTTCTCCACATCGGACTCAGAATTGTGTAGCGAGCGTCGGCGAGATCTCATCCGAAAACGAGATACCACGTATGTGCCCTCCCCCTTCATTCGAAACGACGGGCAACGGCTCGCTGGGAAGTGCAGCGATACTTTTTGGATTGAATTCCCTATCGCCGTGAGAACCCACACGCGCTCTTTTCCTTAGACCGCATGGTGACGGATCTTTTTCTTACTAAAGTCAGACGAACACGGGGGATTTCAGTTCCGTCTGTGTCCCCACACTCAATTTCCCCAAAAATCCTTGGCACACCTAGGCTACCAGCCGAGCCGCCCGGGTCCCGGGTGGCCAGCCCGTGCAAGGACCAGAGAAGGACCCAGCCAAAAGAAAAAAAAAAAAGACCTCCAAAACCCCCAAAAAAAACTGTGTTATGCAGAAAAATAAATTGAACAACTTTTGCCTCACGCCCTCAGGGTCACACCGAAATTCTTTACCAAATTAAATAAATATATATATATATATATATATATATATATATTTTAAAAATTTTATTTTTTAACTTTTTTTTTGGCCAGCTGGCTATGTGACACTCGCGGCCTAGGCCGCACGCATTTCGGCCGCTGTCGCAGAGATTCTCGGCCGCGGCCGCGGCCGATGAGGCCCGGTCCGCGGCCTGTTTTTTTAATATTTCCCCCCCCCCTTAAAAATACGTAAAAAAAAAAAACAAATGCGGTTGTAGGTCTTCGAAAACCCTACACTCCTATATTTTGTTTTTCTTAATCCGACTTTGTTTAGGATTTTTAAAAATCAAAAACTAAAATCGACTTAAACAAGATTAAAAAATATATATATAAAAAAAAGCATAATTTTTTTTTTGTCATTTTTTTTTATGAGATATATGGTCCCTGAGTTCACCTGTATTTTTTTTAAGAATAAATTTCTGATTTTTGCAGGGAAATAACGTGTTTAAAAAAAATCCAGATGCAA